ACTCCGTATCAACTACCCATCTGCTTGGTAACTTAAGCGGGTGGTCATGAATATCTGGTTTGGCACTTCATTGAGAAGAAAATACATACCCAATTCTCTTTGCTGATACTCAAAGCTATTGGTCTTCCTTAGCTGTGAACTTCTACAACATCTATGTTGCTTTATAACAGCAAAAATTTTCAGTCAGTGTGAAAATTTCTCAAGCACAGGGACAGAAATTTTGCAAGAACTTTGACTGAAAATGCAGAAAAGAGGGTTATGAAAGTAGACACAGAACCATGACATATTCACAGCTAATAAATGTAGAATGTGTTGCAGGCCTCCTTCAACAAACTACATAATTGAAGCACACATGCAGAGATATAAATTAAAAAAAAAAAGCAATCTGTAAGCTGCTCAAACTATTTACAAAAAATTACCGTTGGGAAGAGAGAAAGAGAAAGAAATGTTGCCTTCATTTGCAAGTACTCAGGAGACTTCTTGTGCTATAACAACTTAGGATTTGTAAGGATGTAGACAGAAAGAACTTGCTTTTGGCCCCCAGTGGATCTTTTCTGGCCTTAAGGTATTTTATTGAACCTTAGGTTTCCTCATAGATGATATTCCTCTGTAGTTTGTTAAGCTTCACCCTGAAATATATTGTATTAGAAGTGAACTGCTGGTAGTGTATATGCTGTGTTCTTTGCCTGCTTTCAAAATTTGCCCCTATTTCTTTTTCCCTAGTGTGCACTTTCCCTATAAACCCAAGCATTGTGTCTTGCAAATGCTTGTTTTGTCAGGCATGAGAGATCATTTACCTCCTTTGTATTCCTGATGGCTAGTAAAGCTCTGTATTTTGGAGAAGATTTTTCCAGCAAATTTTTCAGGAAAATTACTTGCAGATTTGCACACCAATATTAAGCTTTATTCATGTAGATTTCTCAGTCCATAAACTGTTTGAATGGCTGTCCCAGAGCAAAGGTGATGCCTTTAATATTGAGGCCTTTGATCTCTTCTGCATACTAATTATCAGTTTTGGCTTTCGTTGTGCTATTCCTTTTGTTCCACTGTTGGATGTTTTCCAGTTTTTTCATTTTGATTCTTTTCCCTGGTATTTCATATTAATTTTTAGAAATTATTTTTATATGACTAACTTTAAGTATTACATTATTGTCATGCTAACTTGTACTCTTACATTATGCCTCAATATCATACTGTAAAATCAGCAGCAGCAACCCCTTTCCATTACATCATTGTTATCGTGTTATGCCCAATAAATTTTTAATGGTTCTTGAAGGTACAGTCTTTTCTGCCAAAAAATGTTATTTCATTATTGCTTTCTTTCCATTTAGATGTAGACTAGTTGAATGGTGGACATCCTGTTGGAAAATAATACACAGAGAGTGACCACTACCTTTCCATAAACTTTCCTCCCTAGAACATGGTGAAAATAAACCAGAACCAGAAAGCTTTCTTGTGGTTAGCCGGTTTCTTATTCCTGATTCTTTTTTGCTGTGGAATGGTAAACACTACAGATCCACATTTAAAAATCTCCAGACTATTTCCTTAATGTGGAAGAATTGCTATACGTGGAAGGTTTCTGACCCTGTTACCTGTAGCATTTGTGCTACTTTTACCCAAAGCAGTGAAATTTGAATTTTCACAATGGTTAAATGTTGGCTAAGGAGGGAAGAGCGCAGAGAAGGGTAGGTCTTTCAGGACAACCTTGTACCAAACAGAGAGGGTTTTATTGGTGAGGATTAAAAGAAGTCATTCCTATGAAGAGACAAATACTTGAATCTTGTGACCACAGATGTTTGGGAAATAATCCGAAAATTTAAATCTTTGAAAGGTGTGTTCATCAGATAACAGCACTTCAGTCCCTGCACCTTTCTCAAGAGTAAGAGGGAAAGTAACCAGAAATAATCGACATGTCTTTCCTCCTCAACACAAGTCTGGTCTCCCCAACTTTGACTATCCACAGTTTGAGGAGGGCTCTGAGGAGGGGAGATGAGGACAGAGGACTCCAAGTGGGCAGTAGAAAGATAAGGAGCAGAGGGGCTTCCTGCTTGCCTTTAAAGAAAGGCACAAATTTGAGTGGAAGCACATTTCAGACTAGGCTTCTGCTCTGCCCTGCCAACTCCTGCTCAGAGCCCTGGCCCTGTGTTAGCACGGCACAGCATTGCTCTTCGATGCAGCTACAGACACTTTCCAAGCAAAGCTTCAGGACTCACCCAAAGCCCTCTTTTCCTTGCAGGCGGATCACAGTCTCTGGCTTTTCTCTTGCAGTTCCACTCTCTCGAAGGAGGGTTATCTTGAACAACATTTTTTCATTGTTTCATGTCTAGCTACAAACCTGTCACCTGCCATGTTGACAGCTCACTGGCCTCGTTAAATGCATTCCAGGATTGATTTTCTTTACAATTTCTGTGCTAGGTGTTTCTTTAGTCCTGTAGGTATCGTATTAAAACAGATCAATTCCACCGTACTGCGTAGGGTAAAGTAACTAACGAATGGAAAGCCCCTCTTCCATCAGTATAAGCAGTTTGGTCACCTGTTGGCCTTTTCCCCTTACTGTGCTGATAGGACTTTGATAGCTGAGGTAGAGTTTCTTCAACATAATTAAGGCAGTTTTAGTTTCTTTCTGCGTATCTGTTTCCTGTTGCCTTTTTAAGCTGCAGGCCCCCTGTCAACCAGCAAACTCCTCTCTCTTGCTCTCTCTGTGTCCCGCTGGAGTCATATTTGAGTGAAATCTGTGCTCAGAGGTTTCGTACTAAAGGGAAAAGTTGGGAATGTTTTGGAAATCCTATTAGTTCAATGTATTTAGCTTTATAGGTGAAAAGCCTTCTTAATTCTCACTAAAATGCAGGTTTACATGTGTGGAGGCATACTAGCTATTCCGGTTGTATTGCAGTGTGACGGTCTGCCATAAATTTCAAGGAAGACTTTTCAGCTATGGTAATTTGAATGAGTGATCATGAATCTAAAATGCTCCTTTTCAGCCCTTCAGGAGATAGCTAAAGAAACAAACAGAAAACCAAAATATAGCCTGTCCTTTTTATATCTTTTGTATTCTTATAGCTTCACTTTATGTTTCCTACGTGCTGGTTTTCTTGATTCCATATTCTGTATTTAAAGTATTAATTTGTGATTAACAAGGGTGTTTTTAATGAGTTGATTCCAAACAGTAGCAATCCACTCCCACAACTGTTTGTCTATTGTGGTATGCAAACTTGAATTTGGAGACAGGTGTGCTGTTACCTGTATGTATTACATATCATACATCTGATGAAATTGGGGCTCTGTTACCGACTAATGGAGAATGTGAGTGAGGTGTAACCAAAGCATCTACAATCCTTTACACCTCTGCAGTTTTCCCCTGAGTAGGACTGTCATAATAATTGTTTCCCTACCCCTTTTTTTTTTTTTTCCCATAAAAAAAGGGCAGTTACTGTGTATGCCTGAGAAAATTTGGAAATGAACAATAATATGAACAAGACATTACTTTTCCCTTCACAAACCTTACCTCATGCAGCCAGCTGAGAACACTAAGAGTGTGTTGGGTAATTGGCTTTCCTGCATCCCGTGTTTTTAATTGCCTGAATATACAATCAGCTCAAGGTACATTTCTTGTGCTCTAATGAATTTTAACATAAAGGTTTATTTCCAGATGGATCAGCACTGGAAGAGCTTTTCAACTGTCTTATAAATATAATTTAAATTAACACATTGATACCAAAACCTTGCCACCCAAGAAATTAAACATAGAATTTATTATGTAATTGTGTGGTTATTTTATTTGTGGACATTAAGGTGGCTTTTGAAAAAAAATGCAGCATTCCCTAGAGTTTCTTTATATTATGGCACTAGGTTGACATTAATTCAGGAACTGTTGTAATTTAGATAAAGTTTGAGGTACGCCATTTCAGGGTGAAAAAAGCTTATTTAAATGTTCCATAATTTTTAATTCACTCTTTGCGTTTATTTATGACTTGAAAAAACAAGTAAATGAAGCTCTTCTTTCCTGACACAGTCTTTTGGATTAGAGACATCTATATGAATGCAATATGAGGAGTTTTTAAGGCATGTCATTTCTCAGCTGAGAAAGTCCCATCTAGTTGCACTGTAAAAGTGAGTGCAGCACAGTTCATAGAGTATACATGAACATTTAATTAATGTTACTGCCAGAGTAAATATGCAGCAGTTTTGACATACCTCTGCAACCCATATTTATAGATTTGTAGAAGGTATGGAAAGAAATTAGTATGTTGGATGTGGTTTGGGTTTGTAAGTGCTTCTGATGTAGCTGTGACTTTGTCATTTAACTTCTACATGCAGCTATTGTCCCACTTGTAAAGAGAGGTAATAATGGTTTCCTTCAGATGGAAGTTAGATGGAAGTAGAGCTCACAAGCTCTTGTGGAGGAAGGATTTCTATACCAGAATTATGGAAGACAATGCAGGCACCTGCTGTGGCACTGCTGTGGGCTCTCTCCATTGTCCTGTCCCATGTCAACCTGCCATGTGAACTTGGCACTAAGAGCCGAGTGACTTAAACTTCACTAAATAAAGCAGTAATAATTGTATTTATCCATCTCTGTCCGAAGTTTTCATACCTACATGTGCAATGACCTCAATGACTCGTAGCATCCTTACATTTTTGTGATCAAAGGCTACACCATTTTGCCTCTGTCCCCACCCCTCATAACTGTGAATGAATAATCATAATCAGAATTGCAGTCTGCACCTACAGATACATTTTGATTCATTTAATAGCCTTTAATTTAATTTCAGTCAAGTTTCATTGCAGCAAAAGATCTCAAGTCAGAGTCTATTCCATATACACGTTCAAGATTGTAGGAGGTCATGGTGGCTTCCATTCAAACCAGAAGGTCTGATTTTCATCCTTGATTTCCATCATTGTCATATTAATCAACTGCCTCTGATAACTGTGCATCAATTCTGTATTGTTGTAAGTGTGTATTTGTCTGCCATACTACTGCATGTGCTGTATTATTTCAGGAAAAGCAGAGATTTCTGACAGATGTCCTGCATGAAGTGATGTTGCTGGATGGTTTGACCAGTTCACATCCAGTATCCCAGGAGGTGCAGCAAGCCACAGACATTGACAGGGTGTTTGACTGGATTGCCTATAAAAAGGTAAGACTAATTAAACCTATCTATCTCTATACATAGCTGTGTCAGTAGCTATTAGAAGATCATGTTCCATCTGTAAAACAAATACCTGTTGTAAAAATATGTACACTACAGTGGCTACTGGTTGTGAAACTTTAATTTGTGTGGAATATACTACAGTGATTTTAGCCAATTACATTCAACACATTCAGGGTTATTAAATGTTGTAAATAAACTTGGGAGGCTGTCAGAATTCAGCAAGAAGATTTTGGGGGTTTTTATTACTATTTATTTTGTGGCAGTATCTGTATTGTGTTAGATGCTTTAAAAAGCGGAAGGATGTGTAGTTGAAACTCTAGAAAACTTGTCAAGTGCTAAAGTTAAATGTAAAGTTTTTTATGTTTTTTCTATGCATGAGAATTTTTCTGTCAGCTAGCGAAAACTCTGAAATCATTGCTGACCAGTGAGAGTGGAGGAACTGCCTTCTGAGGTGGTGAAGGAGTATGTATTAAATTCAGGCAACTTCAAATTGTATTTCAATGACCAGAAAGCCTTTGGGCCAGCTTTGGGACTGAACAGCTTCTGTGGAGGAATGAGAGGGCTGCACAATTCCACCTTCTCCATCATATGACTGAGGTGGCTGTTGCCATATGGCCGAAAAGCTGGTGGTTTCCATCGTATCACATGATTATTCTGTGCTGCTTGGTATGATGTAATGCTGTTCCCTACTGTCGTGACTGATGTGTGACGCAGAGGCTGGTGCCTGCAGCATTCTGCTGTGAGGCTGTACTGGAGCTCTCTGCTGATGATTCAGTTACAAGAGTCTTTTGACTGTTGCCTTCGCGTTTGATAATCTTTTCTTCTGCGTCATTAGCTGCCTAACATCAGACTGTAGCAAGACAGCAGCAGCACAGCACTGACTTGCTACCGAGCCTCCAGTTTATCCAGTGCTCATTCTGGGCTAAAGAAGAGGTGTATCCTCTCTTGTAGTCATCAGTTATTCCCAGACAGCAATAACTTTAACTTGATCCTCTTCCATGAAAGGATCTTATGCCTTTAAGGATGGGCAAATGAGAGCGTGTGTGTATGTGTCCATGTAATAGGTATGGAATGTAATAAGCAAACACAAAATACTCAGGAAAACATTTTAAAATGCTGGAGTTGGTCAAGAGCCCAAGTAACATTTTCAAAAATCCCTTAGCTGGCTTTGAAAACATTACTCTTGGTCAATTAAGCTATAATAGCCAGCAGCTTTTAGCATACTGAAGTATTCTCATTGTTTAAATGTTTCAGTCATATGTTTGCTGGTGATAGCTGAACCTCGATAGGTTCAGAGGCCTATCTCACATCAGCATCTTAATATTTCAAGCTAATTATTTTTTCTAATTAATATGATAATAGTAATATCACACAGTAAACTGTAATACTTGACACTTATCTTTTCATCTTATGAACACTTTGCAAACATTAAGTAATTTTCATTTACATTGAAATGACAAATAGGACAGTAGGACACATCTGTATACTGTTAGCTATTTTATGCAGGCTAATAGGATCACTCTGTTTTCTGTGCAGATTAGAGTACAATCTCTGTCTTGTACCTGTCCATTTAAAGGTTCCTTTTTCAGTGTAGCGGGGGCCATGCCCAGTGGACACGACTGCATCTTCACTCAGCCTCTCTGATGGCCAGCCAGCTCTCCTGAACCCTGGGTGACACCGAATGTGTTCATAGTGGGGCCCAATCCTGCACATTTTAAACCCATTTACCAGATCTAGCAAACCACTGTGAGGAATGGCAATGGAAGAATTTACTGACACACTTTCATAGGTGAAGAAATTAAAAGACCAACTCTTTCACCCATGAGGTCTTAGTTTTCCTGTCTGATAATTTGTCTGCTATTCTGTGTAACCATTCATCCTTTTGTTTTAGATACAAACAATCTAATAGGAAAAAAACTTTCATGACTGATGTCATAGCTACTTTTTTCACTGTTTCTGTACCTTCCTCCAAATACCTGACACTGTTTCCTTCTGAGGATAAATTAGAGCAAATTTAACATGTTGTAGATCTCACATTGTTTCATTCCTATGTAACCTTGTATGCATGCATGCATAGCTTGCACTTAAAATCAACTAGGGAAACAAGCTCATTTATTAGATAGCTAGAAGATTTCCCTATCCTTCTATCTCTCTAGTGTCTGCCAATATAACTACTGTGATGAATGGTATGTCGATAAAATCCAAGCTGTTATACTGAAGGCTTTTACCTGCTCAGACATGTGCTCAGATATTTTCATGTGCCTCAAAGCCCTCCTTACACAACTAGCCCATGCTGGAGGGATGTTGCTGCTGGTGTTTTGGGATGGCTTTTTGGTTGTTTGCTGCTTATTTTTTAAATTGCTGTCAAGTATTAAGTTCTTGGAATTTTTTTCTCTTGACTCTAGTGAACTTTGGATCAGGAACGTCAGTGAGGACTTTTCTACTGTCTTAAATCAAATGTTCTTTTTTAAACAGTCTAGCACTATGTGTCTTTTCCCAAAATTTTGGTATTTTTTTTTTCATTCTCTTTTAATTTTTTTTTAAATGTCCACCTTGTGCTCCGTGGGACTTTGAATTGTCCATGTGATCTGTTTACTCTCTTCACAATTTTCTGCACGATATTTGAATGATGAAACTTTCTCCCATCTAATTTTTGTTCAGTGAGATGACAGTCATAGAATGTCATTGCCATTTCATTGTCTTTACTGTCATCAATATGGCATAAATCAATTAGACACCGTTAAAGTGCCCATCTCTGCTAGACACTCAGCTGTCATTTTAAAGATATGCCTCTTTTACTCTTTCTATACACTACAGAGATGACCATTGAAATTGTTCTATTTAATTGTCTTGGAGCTGAATATATTTTTCATTTTCACTTTCTTGTCCTCGGTGATTGCACTTGTTAAGAAATATCATGGCATAAACCCCTGAAGAATGGTATTCAGATAATCCCACAGGCAGAGTGAAACAGCACACAATGTTTCTCCACTTAAGCTGTTGAGGGTAATGTTTTGCCTCTTTCAAAAGCATCTTACTAGTCACTCTTCAGATAGGAGTGTGTCATCCTCCAGTAGGGCCACAAATATGTAGAGAAAAATGAGAAGTCGTGATAGTTCATTAATAAACAGTACTAATAGATGATTCAAGGCTCTCAAGTTACATCAGAGAGTGGATATGTCTTCCTAGTGCAGCTGGAAGTGAGATAGTGTCCTCCCACGATGACGGGAAAAGTGGTTATATCCCAAGTGGAGCAGGAAATATAGCCTGTTGAACACAAGAGTGGATCTGAGAATTGTTAAATCAAAGCAAAAAGCGTGACAGCCTTTCCATACCAGAAATGAATCATAGCCCTGGAGAGCTGCATCAACAGAGGAGGAGAGAGTGCAGCAAGAATAACACGAGGAGCAACAATCAGCAAGGAACAACCGGCTGTAATAAAATGGAGAAACAAGACAGCTGCATCTCCAAGGGAGCAGCCAGACCCAGAACGGCGTGAGGGAGAGAGATCCCAGACAGAACTAAAGGAGTCATAGCCCTAGACGAGCAGTCACAGCCAGATAAGAGAAGGGATGAAAGGGCACCAAGGACACTGTAGAGAGCTAGATAATATCTGAAGTAGTTTCCGTCAGCCTGCTGCATGCTTTGAAGTGTGCTGGTTGAAGATTCTGGCAGCAATCAGAGCAGGCAAGACCAGTATGATGGAGTGTAACTATAAAAGTAACCCCAGTAGAATATGTCTTGGCAAGTGACAAACAATCATCAAAACAAGGAAGAGGATGACTGGAATAGGGAAGAATATTCCTTTTTTTTCCTCCCTGTAAACAAAATTAACTTCAACAGTGAGATCAGTTACTGGCCCTGGCTTTGTAATGCAAAAAAGTCATTATTTCCTAAACCTTTGTGTGTATAATTTCCTTCTCCTTCTTAACTGTATGCTGCTGCTTTAAAAATGCTTTTTCCTGCTTTCTTTGTCAAATGATGGAAGGAAGATAAATTTCTAATAGTAATAAAGGGAGACCATGCTCCTTGCCTCCCCTCAAAGGCAATGTTCTGCATTAGGAAATCTGTTCAACTAAAAATTTGGACAAAGAAAAACGCTCAGCTTCCCTGTATGTTGCAATAACAGTTGTTGCAAAGGAGAATTTAAAAAATTGAAAGAAGTGGCTTGCTCACCCTTTTGAGTGTAATTCCCTTTGAATGTTTACAGGTAACATGTTCTGCAAGAATGCAGAAGAACAGGAGGGCTAACTGCAGTCACTGGAAAGGCTCTCTTAAAACTTTGTGCTTTTTTATTTCTGTTCTTATTGGCACTGTAATAACAAAATAAAACAACACCCCACCCCCCCAGAAAACATCTATTCTGCCCAGTAAAACTGGGATTAGTATCAGTGTGAAATCCACTCAATTCATGAGTGCAATGAAATTGTGACAATGTGCATGTATGAAATGACCACAGAAAAGTGAGAGCAGCTTATTAACAGTGAAAGAAATACTACATAAATACTTATAAATAGTAAAATAGGTTTTTATTTTTAATTGTTCACTTAACTAAATCAATAACATAAGATGGTATCCAGCTAGTTAGAAGTCTTACAATATAATATAGGTGGCTTTACAACCCACTCCCTCACCGCAGTGTAAAGGGAGAGCTTTTTGTTCTCCTTGACTAATTTAGCCGTGATGTTATCTGTGAATGCCATTATGTCCTGGGTGTGCATCTGCGTGATGCTGGTTTCTGTTCCATGACTTGTGAGCGCAGCAGGTCAGTGCCCAGATTACAGAAGGTGCATTCAGAAGCCGTTTGTTCGTAATGCATTGTAGCAGAGGAAGTATCTTGTAATGAAAATAGTTTCTTTCCATTTAAATAAAAAGGTTGTAGGTCATTACTGCTTCCAATATGAAAGCCATCAAAACTCAGAGTCAGTGAAGGCTTTAGGTTCAAATTCAGAGCTGTCCCAAGAATGCCTGACTTGAAGTACACA